GGGGTACACTGTAAAATATTCCGTACTTTTGTACGGAAATGGTACTGAAAAATATAGTACGGAGGTACGGAGAAAAGTACGGAACGTTCCGTACTTGCTCCATATGAACCCATGTAAATGGGTACGGAAAAAGAGTACGGAACGTTCCGTAGTTGGCAAGTACGGACGGTCCAGGCAAATTATTGACCAGACATGTTCCGTACTTTTTCCGTACTTTTTTCTCACAGTGTAAAGTGGCTGGTGCCTGAGCCGAAAAGAATGGGATTTAGCTCAAAAATTCACCTCCACACAAGCTTTTACAGTACACCTTTCCTTAGCAGAAGAGACTAAGTACAAAAATTATTATTTTTCGCATGCACAACTGCTTGGGAAGGAAAGCTGAACAAAAAGCTGCTCAGCTCAACAATTGAGAGGGTGCTCTTCTAGCGACGAGAAGTCGTCTTGACGTCGTGGAAATAATGCCTCCTAGTTTTTGTGTCCATAGCGAGAGCCCTGTTCTCGACGATGGCTCTCCCTCCAAAGCGCCGTGCTGCAGGCGTCAGTCAAGATGCAGGAGACCGTGTTCCCGGTGCTGCCTGGCCTTCTTGTCATGGTCTTCGTGATGCCCATGTGTTGCACCTTGGAGGTTTGCTTTCTGGCCGCCTCCGCGTCCGACAGAGGGCATTTTAGGACCACACAAACACTTCTAACGTCACTTTGCGCCTTTGAACTGCGTACTTCGAAAAAAAAAGAGTAAAACGACATTCTCAATTAAAACTCCGTACCCTGAACCTTTAACTACCTTCCTCTATGTTACCTTATTTCACCAAGGTTCGTTGTTTGATATCATCAGTCTAGTTAGTTTCCATACAAATGTGTGGTTAAACCGTCGTGAGCCCCGTTGAACCGAGGCGCGAATCTTCAGTGTAGTCATGGATAAAAATTAGCTCGTATACTCAGTGTACTACCACAAGTTTATAAAGAGCAAAATTTGCTCATCCTTACACGATTTGGCGTTGTGTGTCGTCGAAACCGATAAGCCAAAAACGTTCAAAAATTAGAAATTTATGAGTGTTAGAAGGTACTCATGTACACTCTTACAAGCTTACGAAGCATTTGCTTTATAACTACGAAGAAAACGAAGGCATTGTAGAATTGCTTCGTACTATTAAGGAATGCTTCGTAGTGCGGAGGATTTTTTTCATAATACAAAGCATTTCTTCGTAGATTTTACAGTGCCTTCATTTTCTTCGTATTACGAAGTGATTCTTCGTAGGGTTTTTACTGTGCACTCATTGTGTACACCAGAACGCTGAGTGATTCACCCCTCGCGTTCACTGTGAAAATTTGTTGTCACTTTATGACAAAAACGTGAATGACATTTCTATCACTTTGAAATGATGACAATCTCGTCTCAAATTGATGACATTTCATCAAAGCTCCTACACTTATTGCATAGGCGTGACAACAATGTCATTAATTGACTTGATGACATCCTTGTAAGGAAAATTAGCCTTGAAATTGTCATCAAGTGATGACTCAAATTTTCACAGTGTTGAGCCACACTCTAAATGTCTTACAATGAAATTTGACCTACGTTATTCGTATGTTACAGTGAATTCGGCGCAAGCATAATATGAAGCAACATTTCTTCGTATTACGAATCCTTTTAGCTTTTTCATTGTAACATACAAAGAAAAACCCTCGTAATACGAAGAAAAACCACCTTTGTGTTATGCTTGCGCCATTTCCTTCGTATTATGGGAAATTTCTTCGTAAGACATTCAGAGTGCACCTTTGCACCTCCACTCTTAAAAGCCTACGAAGGATTTGCTTCGTAACTACACTGTTAAAAAAATCCATCTTAATTTTAAGAAACTTTTTTATGAAGCAGTTTACAAAGACTTTTTGCTAGTAAAAGTAATAAACTTTTTCTTCTTAAAAGTAAGAACCAAATTTGAAAAGTAATAATCTGTTTCTTAAAAGTTGTTTTGCATTTAAGAAGAATTTAATGAGGAGTAGGGAAAAATTGAACGTCTTGTATACGTTATGAGTTACTCGTAGTATGGTAGTAGTCGATTTCACTGCCGAAGTTGCTTGGAAGCGTGGTTGAAACCCGGTCTCGAACCCGGAATTCCAGATTACTGCACCGCGACGCTACCAACTGTGCCACGAGTGAGCTCTGGGAGGCGGGCCCTAGGATGTGGATGACTCCATGCCTCTCGGCGGAGACTCCGCTAGGCAGCGGAAGCGCTCATCCAAGGGCCTCCAAACACGACTTGACATGACCAAGAACATAAAAATTTGTTCTTTAAGTACACTGGTAGAAAAGCGTCCAATGATCACAATTTCAACTGGCAAAGATGAGAATCAAATATAAAAAGTCATAGTAATTTAGAATTTTAAGAAACAAATTATTACATTTGATAAACAATCTCAAATTTTATGAACTCGTTTTTCAATTTTAATAAAGTTTCTGAAAGTTACCAATATTTTCATTACTTGTCAGAAATGTTTTGGTCAATGTAAGAAATTTTCTTAAACTTCACAAACCTTTATGAGTTTTCATATCCTTTCAAAAAGTTATTAAAATTAAGATGTCATTATGCATTAAATTTAAGAATTTTTTTAACAGTGTACGAAGAAAATGAAGGCATTGTAGAATTGCTTCGTATTACGAAGAAATGCTTCGTATTATTAAGGATTTTGCTTCATAATACGAAGCATTTCTTCGTACATTTTACAATGCCTTCATTTTCTTTGTATTACGAAGCGATTCTTCGTAGAGTTTTTACTGTGTGTTGTCACAGATTATGATGAGGGGTCTGAGTGCCTCTCCGTTCGCCTTGCTGACGGCTCCCCACATCTTCACCATGTTCATCCCACTGTGCTTCGCTGGAGACATGCTGGCCGACTCGTGTGAGGCGGTAGGGGACGCTGCGTACAACGGAGCGTGGGATGAGGTAGCGTACCACAGTGGGCCAGAAGACCGGTGGAGGCGGCCAAAACTCTAGACACGTTTTGAGCTCCAGAGTCGCTAAATGGGACTCAAACCGAACGTGTGACATCTGACTGACAGGAGACGCCGTCGCAACGCCGGGTTCGCTTCAGCGTGATGCAGGCATCGTGCGTCAAAGCCGGCATCAGAGGCATCGGGATCGGCAACTTGGACCGGCCGGCCTGCAACGACGCCCTCAAATCGTGGTACTCCTTCGTGCAGTTCTTCGCCGGCCTCAGAGACCTTCAAGAGACTCAAAAGGACTAGCCTGTGTCATTCAATAGAACCTCTTCACCACTGAAACCTGTATTCACCAATTAGGTTGCGTGGCAGCACTCTAGTAATGCTGTTTTCTCCTTCAGATTAACAATGTTCGTAGACACCGCACAGTGGGCCAGAAGACCGGTGGAAGCGGCCAAAATTTTAGACGCGTCTTAGGCTCCAAAGTTTCGAAATGGGACTTGAGCTGAACGCGTGACTCCGCCTAGATTGCTCTCTCAACGAGAAATCCATTGGTGGGGTCACACGTTCGATTCGAGTCCCATTTATCGACTTTGGAGCTGAAAGCTCGTCCGGGATTTAGACCACCTCCACCGGTCTTCTGGTTCACTGTGCACTGCATCTGTGCAAACAATGTGACGCCTTATTCGTTGGAATGTGAGTTTTGTCTCGTTCGTTTGAACACGCTGTTAGATTCGTTGAAATGTGACAAGGTCGTTTACTTAAGATGCCAGATTCCTCTGAACGTGGATTTACATTCAAACGAATGTGACCATCATTTGCAAACGGACGTTACAAAATTCGCACTGAAACTAATATGACATCACATTCGTTGAATATCAGTTACGGGGCGAAGTGTAGTCATGACGACTTATGTAGTTTAGAATAGAGCACACCTTATCACCTTTGAGGGATATGGGGTAGAATTTGAGTTCGATAAATCAAAATGGACCCTCATTTGCATATTTTCCTTTAATGATGCTGTTCTGAACCTTGCTTTGTACTACAAGGGGCACCATGGCCAACTCACACTATCCTCCGAATTTTTCACATAGCGACAATGATGCACCACACTGCAAATCCAAGTGTGCCCCTTAGAAATAGAAATGGTGTACACAGTAATTTCTATTTAGAAGAATGCAATTAAGTTCCAATCGAAAGGAAACCAATTGAAGTATACATGTAGATTCTGTATATGAGTCAAAATTTTCGACAGCAACTCAAATATTCTAAAGGACTAGCAGTCATTCAGGATACACTACATTCCAATTTTGGTAGAAAACATAACATGGTTGTGAAAATTCTTGTACTTCAATAACAGACCAGCAAAAGACAATGAAAAGGACTACAACTGCAAATGCAAACTTTGCAAATGATTTACATACTTCAAATAGAAATATGTATGACTGACAAGGGACACAGTAGTGTTTTAACCTTTAACATTGCAGCAGATAACCAAAAAGCTTACATAGTTATTCATTGATATTGTTAACTCAAACGAGGTTGCCAGACCAAAGTGGCGTAAATAATAACGGTTTAGACCGGTTTAGACAGCAACCCGAAGGCACCTCATGTCAGACCATATCGTACATGTACGTAATTTTAACTACAAAACAGAACATAACTTTGTTATAAAACCTTTTTTCAATAATGATTATAAAGCCTAAATCCTAGGATGTAACAGCAGAATGCCAATTAAAATTCCCTTTAAAATCATAGGGAAATCATTACTGAGAATAACACTTCTCTGATCCATCGACGAACGTCAGACGATATTCACATCGGTGACCAAGATACACTACGCTCTAAATTTGGCATGCCCTGAAACTAGGCGCCCTCGTCGCCTGCTCACAGTGGGCCAGAGGACCGGCGGAGGCGGTCAAAATCCCGGACGCGTTTCGAGCTCCAGAGTCGCTAAATGTGACTCGAACCGAACGTGTGACCCCACCAATGGAATGCTCTCCGAACGAGGAATCCATTGGTGGGGTCACACGTTCGTTTCGGGTCCTGTTCAGCGACTCTGGAGCTCAAAACGCGTCCAGAGTTTTGTCTACCTCCACCGGTCTTCTGGCCCACTGTGCTGCTCCGCGTTTTATGACATGCAAAATTTAGAGTGTAGTTAGCGGTTAGCGCATCTCAGCCTCTTTCCAGATGAGAGGGACGTTCACAAGTTCGCGCAGTTAGGCGTCAATCCAGGTGAGTTCCCCCAGTTCGGGGAATTCCGGCACGACGTCACACTCCCCACACATGACCACCACGCGCCTCCGCCCCTGCCCCGCACCGTGCGCCCGCAGAGCGTCCTTGATTGCCCTCTTCTGCTGAGGGCAGGACTCCTCCGAGTGCGGCAGTGTGTCGTCGGGGAAGTCCGGTGCCGGTCCACGCAGCAGCACCACGCGCCGCAGCGCCGCGAGGTTGCACTGCCGCAGGCCGTCGGCCAGGTGACGGAAGTGCCAGGGGGTGCCGCCCTCGGACGCGCACAGCACACGGAGCTCCAACAGTGTGGCCGCGTGGGCCTTGGCCAAGGATAGAACAGTGGAGGGCGGGCGCAGAGACACCCACAGCCACTGCAGGCCGCGGTGGTGTGGCGGCAGAGGCGGGGACGCCACGTTGATTGGATCGTCGCTCCAATCCAAGCTCAATTTCCGCAGGAATGGCATCCTCTGCAGGGGTGCGTTGGGTTGGGGAAGAAAAGCACAGGATAAGTACACAGTAAATGTCTTACGGTGAAAGGCTGCACCAACATAATATGGTGGAGATTTTCTCCATAATACCAACGAAAAACGTCGAAATCTCTATAAGGTACAGTGAATTCTCAATGGTATGTTACGAAGTCAGCTGCACCACCATAATATGGAACATTTTCACCATAATATGGAGAATCCTCAATGTAGAACATTTAAAGTTGGACTGAAAAATTCCCGCACTTGCGTGGAAAATGTATGAAAGAATGAAGCACACTGCAAATTCCACTTTTCAACTATTTGGCGCAATTTGATTAGAGCAATTTTCCAAAAAATCTTTTTTTCTTGAATTATTTTATGTCTTTTTGCAAAAGACTCTCAAGAGTTCAAATATCCTAGAAAATTTTTTGGTTCGATAAAATTTGTGATGGTGTTGTCCCCTAGGAGGCCGAGAAGTCAAAGTAACGTGAAAAGAAAGGATCTAGTGACACCGTTTCTCGTTACTTTTGGGTTCTCGTCCTCAGCCAACACTGTCACAAACTTCAGCGAACCAAATATTTTTCTGGCATATATGAACCCTTCTGAGTCTTTTCCAACAAAGACGTTGAAATAACACCGCATAAAATATTTTTGGTGAAGTTTTAAAAAGAATGTGTGCAATTACATTGAGAAGTAACGATAACAACCCTGCACCTGGGTGGAAGGATCTGTAGTTTCAACAGTTTCTGAACTATACAGTTTCTTCAAGAAAGAAAGTGAAGACGCAAACGCAATCCCACTTTGGAATTGAAAGTGCACTGAGTGCACACAGTGCATTCTCAAAGGTGTATTTTTTAAAGTTAGCTACACCTAATAAGAGGGAATTCTCTACCTAAGATAGAGAATCTTCACTGCACTGCAAATCCAAAGGCGATACTTGAGTACCCTTCTCAGCTACAAACAAAGGAATCGCCAAAATTTGGAAATGCTTTCGAGTACTGCCAGAATCTGGCAATAAACAAAAAACTATTTACCTTGATTTGTTCAAAGTTCATTGCCACTTCAAAAGAATATCGCCAAATTTGGCCGAAAGTTTTGTGTATCGCAGTGTAGAAGGCAAGATTTTTCGGTACGGCCGTTTTATTGGCGATTCTCAATTGAAACGCCAATTAGGATACTAAGAGTGTCACTTTTGGATTTAAAGTGTAATACTGTGAGAAAAAAGTACGGGAAAAGTACAGAACATGTCTGGTCAATAATTTGCCTGCACTGTTAAAAAAATCCATCTTAATTTTAAGAAACTTTTTTATGAAGCAGTTTACAAAGACTTTTTGCTAGTAAAAGTAATAAACTTTTTCTCTTAAAAGTAAGACCAAATTTGAAAAGTAATAATCTGTTTCTTAAAGTTGTTTTGCATTTAAGAAGAATTAATGAGGAGTGGGAAAAATTGAACGTCTTGTATACGTTATGAGTTACTCGTAGTATGGTAGTAGTCGATTTCACTGCCGAAGTTGCTTGGAAGCGTGGTTGAAACCAGGTCTCGAACCCGGAATTCCAGATTACTGCCCGCGACGCTACCAACTGTGCCACGAGTGGCTTTGGGAAGTTTTAACAAAAATGTGGAAGAACTAAAATGCCCTCGGGGGAAAGGACTCCGTAGTTAAAGCGGAACTATCATCCAAGGGTCCAAAACCCAACCCATTTTGGAATTTGAAAAAAGGGGAACATGCAAAATTTGTTTTTAAGTACACCCCTGAAAAGAGGAATTCTCTCCAATGATCACAAATTTCAACTGGCGATACTTGAGTACTCTCATACAAAAAGGCCCCAAAATTTGGAATTTTCGAGTACTCCCAAATTATGGCAATAAACAAAAACTATTTAACCTGTTTTTCAATTTTGCATAAAAGAATTCGAAAGTTGGCCAAATTTTCATCGCTTGTAAAAGGGAAATTTTTGGTAAGGTTAGGCGATTTTCTTAAACTTCCAATTTATGAGTTTCATTTGGATTTAAAATTTAAAATTAAAAAAAGTATTAGAAAATTTACAGAACATGTCTTCAACATTTTGTGGACCGTCCGTACTTGCCAACTACGGAACGTTCCGTACTTTTTTCCGTACCCATTTACATGGGTCCATATGGAGCAAGTACGGAACGTTCCGTACTTTTCTCCGTACCTCCGTACTATTCCGTACAAAAGTACGGAATTTTTTTTTACAGTGAAACGACTTTTAGACAACACACTAAATGTTTATGTACAATTTAGTACGTGGTGATGCATAATTTTAAACTTGTGTGCCGTCGTGCATAAAATTGTGCGTGAATTTGCATACATTTATGCATTTTCACGCATAATATTATGCAAATTGCCCGCACGCACAAAATCGTGCAAGTGGCACGTACAAAATTCTACATAAACATTTAGTGTGAAGTTCTGGTCCGCACTCAGCAGCAACTTACATGTATTGACTGAAAGTGGCAGGGCAATACGTTTTCCAGAGTCAGTTCCTCCACCTGCAGGGGCAGCTCGGGGGCGTCCCCCTCCGTGAAGCCGAGGTGGATCCACAGGTGCCGCAGGGCTGGCATGTGTCGAATCACCTCGAGGTGGGCGCGTTCCGCGTCGTACACGTACAGCCACTCCACACGGGGGGCCACGCGCTCCAGCAGGGACTTGCACCAGTCGGGGTGCTTGCTACAATCCACTCCGTCCAGACGACGCACCTGCAACCAAGGAGACATAACTTTGACTTTCACACGCTTCACAGTGGGCCGGAAGACCGGTGGAGGCGGCCAAAAAAACTCTAGAAGCGTTTTGAGCTCCCGAGTCGCTCGCTTGAAAACCATACGAAGTGTTTTGAGCATACATGGAACAAACAAGTTTAATTTGTTACACGATGAAAAAGTTCGTAAATTACGAAGTATTTTCTTTGAAAGCTTATGTATGCTCATAATACTCAAAAGACAAGCTGCTTTTCTTTGTAAGGCCTAACATAGTTTGTAAGGTTGTCTCAGGGGAGTCTAACCAAACGTGTGACACTATCAATGAAGGCGCTCCCTGGACGAGGAATCCATTCGTGGGGTCACTCACACGCTCAGTTCGAGTCTTGTTTAGCGATTCTAGAGGTCAAAACACGTCGAGAGTTTTGACCGCCCTGGTGGAGGCGGTGGTGTTTTCCTAAGACGTTTATAGGCCATACGGTGTTGTGGGTTGCCTACCTTCCAGGCGCCACAAGTGGAACAAAACAGAGAGAAGTCAAGTATACAGTTTGTGAAGGCCACCTCTGGAACTTGTGGACTCCGTCCTTCTTAACATGTCATTTTTTAGTCAGTGTGGCATTTGCGGAGTTGTGTTCCACTAACCACAATTTGGCATATGGCTGTATGTCAAACTCGCGTAATAGGGTACTTCAGAGAAGAGCTGGAGCGGAAGTTGAGAAGAAATCAAGAAGAACGAAGTATACGAAATGTGTAAGAATGAGCGTCTGCGTCGCCGTTCTGCCGCTTCCGCAGAGTTACATTCTCATACACGTCCGGCGCGTCTTCTTCTTGATTTCTTCTTAACTTCCGGTCTAGCTCTTCTCCGAAGTACCCTATTCAGGCCCATTTATATTTAAGAGTAGAAGGCAGCCTACATTAATGACAAGCAGTAGTCTAGTGCGAGTTGGGGTACATGTTAAGTTCATTTGGTCGAGCGGTGCCTCGGTATTTGGGGATTTTCGAGGCGTATGGCGGCGTATGCGACCGTATGGCCTGGAAAATTTTATAGGCCATACGGTCCCCCCGATTCCGTTAAAAGGCCATACGGCGTATGGCCCCGTATGGCCCGGAAAACACCACTCTGGACCACCAGTCTTCTGACCCACTGTGCGACTAAGACCTTACGAAGTGATATGAGCATGCACGTTAAATGTGTAACAATAAGACACTCCACCTCCATACTGTGGTGAAGATTTTCTCCATAATACAAACGAAGACAAAATATCTGTGAGGTACAGATAATTTTCAATGGTACGTTATAAAGTCAGCTGCACCACCATAATAAAGAGAATTTTCACCACAATACAAAGAATCTTCACTAAACAACTTCCAGAAAGTATGTTGTACAAACTAATTTATTTTTGTATGTGAAGAAAGAATTCGTAAATTTCGAATTAATTTCTTTGAAAGCTTACATATCCACAAAATACTTTGTTATGTGGAGAGCTCTACTTTACTTCGTAAGGTTTTAATTAGTTTTGTAAGTTTCTCCGAAAGCATTGTACATTTTTTGTCCACCTACATTTCGGACGAGTATCAATGAACAACCAAATTTCCATGTATTTCAATATCATTTTCACTTATTTTGTTTTCACGAATTTGTATTTAGGCTCAACGTTGTGAATTTAGAAGAACTTCGATGAATTTTGGTGTCCAATTTTTTGTTTAGTTGTTTCTTCTCGCCTGCCACTTATTGCGTTTATGGGAAAGATTCACTCTAACATAAGCCTCACAGTATAACTTAGTTGGCACTTGATGAAAAACATCGTGGATGACTTGTTCTCGATTGAAAATGATCACAGCTACATCACAAATCAATGACATTTTCATCAATGTTCCTATGCTTGTTACATAGGAGTGACAACAATGTCATGAGCAAGTTTGTTGACATTCTTGCAAGGAATATTAGCTTTGAAATTTTCATAAAGGCAGCTAAAATTAAGGTCGTGCTCGAAGTAACATTTTTGTCAGTTATAGGGCAAATCCAAGTGTGGGACAGGCTAGCGTGCACGAGAAAACGTTGGACACGGAAGAGTCCCTCGTTATCTAAAGCATGCCGTCCCCACAATTGGAATTTTCTCCCTCACTTAAAACAGTTTTTTAGTGCAGGTTTCAACGATTTCGTTAACTATACAGAGTATTTGGTCCGTTAATCTTGACTACTCTTCATGCGCAGACTGCCCGAGACCCAACTGCTTCCACCCCCTGGTTTCGGTTACCTTGTCCAGCAGGCCGGGTATCTCCACGAGGTCGACCCTTTCCTGACTGTAGTCCTCCAGCTCGCAAAGTGATTTTACATCTAGACACTCGTCAGGAAGGTACGGACGAGACTGCAACAATGAGAGAAAAAGTTTGAACCATTCGCAAATCGCATGTGAACAAGTTTTGTTGGACGGAATTGCGCTTTGCAATTGCACACTAAATGTTTTAATACAAATTTTGTACGAGACATCACAGTTTTTGGTGCAAACGAACTTGTCGTACAAATTTGTACGCGATTTTGGACGAAAATGGGGAAATATGTACAGTTTTTCGTACAAGATTTGTACGAAAAGGTCGTGTGCACTAAAAACTGCAATGTCTCGTACAAAATTGTACTTTACATTTAGTGTGTGAAGCGATTACTCTGTACATTGTAATTTTCGTAGTAAATACGTAATTAAAGAAAGCCTCAGTACGAATCTGAGTGTTTGTAAAAACATTCCTCTGAGGGTCTTGAACAGAGATAATCTATTCACTGGAAAGCCGGTGGCAAGTTTGCTAGGCGCAAAATTCGCAAGCCTGGCCCTAAGAATACTTTCCAACTTCCAAAACTGCGGGCGGCCGAAGCGCCAAATATTGGCAAACAAATGAACATTCCAGGTCACGAGGCATGCCACTTTTTGACAATCAGAATAGCTTGCCAATTTCGTGGCAAGCTTATAAGGTAGTCAACCGCACTGGTTTTCTGAGTGAAATAGTGTACTCATTTAAAAAGCAATTACATTTGCATAGCATTAGAAGCGCCATGAAAAAGATATTCAATTATAAGTGCAATAGATATTATATTGTAATAGCGCATTTATCACTTTGTTAGCGTAGTTATCATTTTATCACGTCAAAACTGCGATGATCTGGACCCAGACCGGCCGAAACCTAAGAGACTTATTGAATTTTAAACGCGATAAGTTTTTATTGCGATAATTTGAAGGAATCACATTAGCTTTCACATGGCTGCAAATTGCATGAAACATCACATTAGAAAATCAGTGCGGCTTTGCAGTGTCTGAGAAACGGGTCACTGTGTGAACAAACCGTAAGCGGAGGAGTCGGGATGTCCTCGGGTGCTTCCTGCAGCTGAATGTCAGCGACCATCTCGTTCATCTCGTGGTCTTCAGAATCAAGGAGGTCTTCCATTTTCGGCTGGGTGCTGTCTTGAGGAACTGACAAAGCCTGCACAGAGGAAAATACAGTCAGAAAGAACCTTCACTGCACATTCATGGCTTGCAAGCGAGGGACAAGCATGCCGAGACAAAGAATCCCAATCTCACAAGCGTGGGTCAGCCCGTGTTTCACGCTCACAGATGTGGGAATTTTTGTCCCACGCTTGGAGATGCAGCTTGCACGAGATGCACTGCCTCACACTGTAAATGACTGACCGTGTAATATGCTACGAAATTCGTCAAAATATCCTAGAAGGTATAGTTAATTCTCAATGATATGTTATTAAGTCAGCTGCACCACCATATTACGTACAGAGTCTTTACTCACAACATTTAGAGTGCACTTCTCTGAGAGCTCTCCCTTCACTCTCAGCACGTATACTGACTAGCAGCAGGTGTATTCGTTAAGTAAGGATAATACTTTTTCGTGAAAACCACATAAAATGGCTCATTTCCGACTTCAGAGTTCACTCAGGGTCTTCATACGGGCAAAATCGGATTCCTTGTCCAAAATTACGCTTAGAGAACTTTGACCCACCCATCTACTATCTCATTTATTACCCGATCTATGAAAAGTCTTCACATTTACCGCAATTCTACTTGAAGTAAATACCTTACGTGATTGCAAAACTTTAGAAAGCTGCCGTTGCCAAACTACACTGGAGCTACTGCGGTGAAATTTCACACGAACTCTGACATCCCTTGGGACAATATTTTGACTCAATATAGGGCGGAAATGGTCACGCGAAAGGTGGCTAATCTGATCTAAAAAACTACCCAGAAATGACGATTTTTCAAATTTTGCAGCGCCACTGCTTTTCACGCGGCGTACACAAACTTTTAGTCTCTTAATATGATAATTTGGTCCTTTATCTACAAAATCCACTTATCGGATTGACGAAAATCTATGCCGAACGCCAAAACCCCAAGAAAAGTAAAAAGCACTACAAAAACTGAAAAACAGTCAGAACATCATTTTGGGTTGTCCTATCAACAAACAGGCACCGGATCCTCCTCTACCCTATGAAGATCATGATCACTTCAAATCCAGGGGCAAGTTTCCTCGCCACTGGAGTGGCGTCTTTTCTAAAGCGCCAAAATTTGACTTTCCCGTCCCCTGATTCCGGATTTCATGCCAGATTTTGGCGTTACACAGAGAGCGCCATAATTTGGCGTTCCATTCCCCAGAGCACCACAGACCCACCACAGAAGTGCTCTGGGGCATGGAATGCCAAATTTTGGCGCTCTCTGTGTAACGCCAAAATCTGGCATGGAATCCGGAAACCAGGGATGGGAACGCCAAATTTTGGCGCTTTGGAAAAGACGCCACTCCAGTGGCGAGGAAACTTGCCACTGGATTTGCAGTGATGCACCTGCAGCAGCGCCCCCGGGGCTCGGTTCGGACTTGCTGCCACCGGACGGTTCTTAGGGTCACCCAAGGAGGCTGCATACCAAATTTGGTCAAGATCGGGCCACGGGAAGTCCTCGGACGGACGGACGAACGGACGCACAGCATGCATCAAATGTGATTCAAAAGAACCCAACCGGTCCGGCCGGCTCTGGCTGGGGTCTTCTGGCCACAGCGTCAAAACCGTTCATTTAGAGGGGCATAGTAAGCGAGCCGATTGTAGGTCTCTGTGCAAGGAACAATCGGCTCGCTTACTGTAACCCTCTAAATTGAACGGTTGAGACGCTGCGGCCAGAAAACCCAAGCCAGAGCCGGCCGCACCGGTCGGGTTCTTTTGGCTCACACACTACTGTATGCCCGTCCCTCCGGTATTTTTTTTTAACAAAAAATACACGGGACGGGCCAAAAACCTGAACGGCGACGTGCCAGTACACTGCACTGCTGCGGCACGACGTACTCACAAACCTCACACGGGGCAACGCACTGAACGCCGACGTATTCCTCTCGGCTGGCTGTCGCATACTGTCTCGTCTCGTTGTGTCGTGTCGTCCGCGTCCGCGCAGTGCAGTGGTGCCAGGCCAGACTCGAGCCTCGCGTCCCCACCACCAGAGCGCGCTCTCCCCACCAAAGTAAAGATCCACCAGGTTTCTACCAACCCCCGCCGCTTTCCAGCAGAGTTCTCCACCAGCGGTCGCTGCAGAGGACTAGGACCAGGTAAAGGGGCAGATTTGTACCCCTCCTCTCCTCGCTCTGAAGGCCGTCTCGGGGGCGGTGGACCACAACATGTCCGAACCTGCCTCGTGGTGACACACTCGGTGCCCCTTATAGCCTCTTGGAAGAGCGTCCGAGGCCCCCTCCCCCACTGGTCGGCGTCGTGCTGCGTGTGTGCAGCGCCCCCCCCCCCCCAACAAAAAGAAAATTGTAGGAAACTCCACCGTGAGAAAAAAGTACGGAAAAAGTACGGAACATGTCTGGTCAATAATTTGCCTGGACCGTCCGTACTTGCCAACTACGGAACGTTCCGTACCTTTTTCCGTACCCATTTAAATGGGTTCATATGGAGCAAGTACGGAACGTTCCGTACTTTTCTCCGTATTTTACTGAACCATTTCTGTACAAAAGTACGGAACTTTTCACAGTGTCAGGCAGCCCGCGCGCAGGGCAGGGGGTCCCGAAGGGAGAGAGGGTAAGGCTCGGAGGCTGCCGCTGGTCTTCCGCGAAGGACATTCCAGCCTCGGCGCAGCGTCCGGTCCCGTCCGGCCACGATAAGCAGCCCAGCTTCGTCACTTGACACTCCAAGATCAACATGCAAGGGGCGCGGGCAGGGCGAGGCCACTGGCGCGCCGGCGCGGCCTCCGCACCTATTTTCTTTGCCTACACTCTAAATAGAGTGCCCAGAACCTGGACGCCTTCGTCGCCCACCGCCCACCCCACTTTTGAGGGTGCCAAATGTCGCCCAGTTTCTGGGCACCTTTGTCGCCCAGTCGTGGGGTGGACTGCCTTCACCCATGGCTCAGCAGCGACTAAGGTGCCAAAGGTGCCCAGAATCTGGGCACCTTAGTCGCCCGGGAACTAGACACGTGTGTGCATGCTCTACCATAGGAGAGGGCCGGTTACTGTATGATTTGTCCACCCCGTGACTGGGCGACGAAGGTGCCCAGAAACTGGGCGACATTTGCCACCCTAAAAAGTGGGGCGGGCGACAAAGGCGCCCAGTTTCTGGGCACCCTACATTTAGAGTGTAGCCGCGTAGGCAGGCAGCAGGCAAAGCAGGCGGTCGGCTTCTAGCGACTCTCTCCGCACGAGAGTACAAGCATGCTGATACGAGGGGGTAGCAACTCGCGTAATAGTCGGGTCACCTGCTCTGTAATAACAACGTAATAGCCGTAATGACGGCGTAATAACCGAAATAGTCGCGTAATATCGGTAATAATAACGTAATACACGTAATATTATCGTAATAGCCGCGTAATAACCGCGTAATAGGTCAGAAATGCCCCTGTCAGGGAGTATTGACAGCTCCTGATGGCGTTGGCTATACTCCACGCACGGTTGTCGGCATTCCCCCAGAGTCGGGTGGAGGGGGTACACTGTGCGAAAAATGTAGGGTATTCTCTGTTAATTTATTAACAGGATTTGCCGTACTAAGAAGCACGGCGTTTACTGTACCTAGAGGTACAGCGTTTACTGTACCTGGAAGGACGGCATCACCTTAATTTGTACAGTACACTTGTCAAGAGGCAGTCATTTCATGACATCAAAGTTTAGACGATTTTGAAAATTTACTAAAACTTTTTGGAAATGGATTTAGCCCGAGATCTTTTCAACTTGACGTTACAAGTGCCGCCTTGAAATCCAATCTTGTAATATTTCTCAGCGGTTTGAGTGAATTTTCCAATGGTCCAAATCAAGATCTTCTTACAGAAATGGATTTGTGTCGACAAGACAGAAAAATGTCAACGTATGTCATAGGTTTGGATGGAACATAAAAAGGCTATTCACCTACAAACTTGCAAAGATGGTCAAGAAATGACCTTCTTGGTACTTTTGAAGCTCAATAACGTTGTCATTCCCGTCCAAACCTATGAGATGTGTTGACATTTTTTGTTTGTCTTGACGAGACGAATCCATTTCTGAAAGAAGATCTTGATTTGGACCACTTTGAAAATTCACTTGGTTTGGACCTAGTTCTAGTAAATAACTTCGAACAACCTTCAAAAATAACCAAAAAAGAAAAGAAAAACTGTGCACTGCAAATGTACAGCGGGATTTTTCATAACACGAGTATGTTGCAGGAAGCGGAAGCAACGTGAAAGATTTAGCGCTGTTTTTCAAAGCGTAATAACCGCGTAGCACAATAGTCCGTAATAGAACGTAATAGCCGCGTAATATACGTAATATCCCATCTATTACGCGTAATAGTCTCAAAACGTAATAGTCGGGCCGCGATTTTTGGGAGTTGCTACCCCCTCGTGCTGATACGACGTGAACGTATCATCGGAGGCGGTCTAAATAGCGAGCATGATTCGAGCTCCCGAGTCACTAAATAGGACTCGAGCCGAACGTGTGACCCCACCAATGGATTGCTCTCCCAACGCGGAATCCATTGGTGGGGTCACACGCTCGGTTCGAGTCCTCTTCAGCGACTCTGGAGCTCAAGACGCGTCCGGTATTTCGACCTCCTCCACTGGTCTTCTGACCCACTGCACTGTGAAAATTTGAGTCGTCACTTGATGACAATTTCAAGGCTAATTTTCCTTACAAGGATGTCATCAAATCAGTTGATGACATTGTTGTCATGACCATGCAATAAGTATAGGAGCTTTGATGAAAATGTCATCAATTTGTGATGAGATCGTCATCATTTGAAAGTCATGAAAATATCATCCACGTTTTCGTCACAAAGTGACAACAAATTTTCACAGTGTGTGCGCCACGTTCCCCCACATCTCCGCTGCATCACCTCGTTGGACTGCTGCTGTGGTCCCGGCTCCGCGGCACCGGGCAGCTCGGCCCGACAGACGTCCTCGACGGCCTGCCTCATGCCCTCGACGGCCTGCAGCACGCGCCCCGCGGCCGCGGTGTGGGCGCGGAGTGCGGCGGCGTCCTGGCGAGCCTCGGCAGCGCTTCCCAACGCCCTGGGGGACGGAGACAGCCGTTTGGTGATGGATAGTAAGAACGTCACAGACAAGGGAAAATAACTCCAGCCAAATTTGTGAACCTAAGTTCATCAAACATGTAAACTTCACTGAAATTCATTAAAATTCATCGAAATTCGACTGAAATTAATCGGAATTTAAAATTCATCGAAATTGGACTGAAATTCGTTGGATTTGTACACCGAAACTCACAGAGATTTTCCCTTGGTCACAGACAACAGGGGCACAACTGTTATGCCTCCAATTTGGCTTAAACTTGCATAATTTCTCACGCAGCGCTCTCTCGGTATGCTTAATGCGTTTTGAGCACCAGAGTCGATAAATGGGTTCCGAACCGAACGTGTGACCCCACCAATGAATTACTCTCCGAGCGAGGAATCCAGAGGTGGGGTCACACGTTCGGTTCTAGTCCCATTTAGCGACTCTGGAGCACGAAACGCGTCTAGAACTTTGGCCGCCTCCACCGGTCTTCTGGCCCACTGCGTGTGGGTTATGCCTACCTCCACATCAGCAGGCACTCCTGCGCGCGCTGGAGCTCCAAGGCCACGGCGTCCTGCTTGGCGCCCAGGGCCTGGACCGCCTCGCGCACCACGGCCTGCGTGCCGCGCAACAAGTGCTCCATGAGGCAGAGCGCTTGGGGCCGCGCGTCGCACGTCAAGCACCACATGCTGCCAAGGAGCGAAGGCAGGGAAGAAAAATTAATTTGGCCCGACAGCACGCCGCAACACTGAAAAATTTGGTTTGTGAATATTGATGGCAATTTATTGCAAGGCTTTTTTTTTTTTCCTTACAATGATGTCATGAAAACATTCACTCTCAGACTAGTATTGACTTTTTATCTCTTGCCATAAAGGTTTTTGTGCAAACGTAATACGTACTATTTTCTCTTTGGCTGTGCATTATTTTGTTCATTGTATAATGTTTATGGTCCATTAAACCGGACTTAATGTCATTGGCAATGTACTTTTCAATTTCTACATGATCTATTGACAATTATATCCCTAAAACGATCAAAACTGTGCATAGTTGAGAAGAAAATAGTACATTTTACGTTTGCTCAAAAAACGCTATAAACAAGAGAGAAAAAAGTCCATATGGGTCTGAGCGTGTTTTTTTTTATATTCCAAAAGTTTTGAGAAATTTGTGGAATTAGTCATAATAGTTCATGAAATACTTAAATTTAGTTTCATTGGAGTGAAATACCTTGCGTGCTGCACTAGATCATGAATTCCCTAAGGCATGTGGTGAATTATGTGAACGTACCTGACCGCTGTCAGTCCCGGCACGACCACGGCAGGCTGAGTGGCCGAGTGTTCCTGAAATGAAGAGAATTAACAGAATTGAATTGCCAATTTTCCATGTTGTCTATGTCCAAGTCAATTTTTTAAGTAGCGAGTGGCCTTTTCATTTTTCCTGGCGTTTCAATGATTTCACGGACCTCCCTGACGGGTTAGAACCCCTCGTACTGTCTCGCAGTAGTATCAATTTCGAGACACTTTATCTCACCTAAGACCAGCGAAAAGTCCCAATGGTAAGCGCAGAAATTTCGCAAATTTTTCGCCACAGTGTTAGTGTCAAAAGGACAGGGCCAAGCCACTGCCTAGCAGACCAGAGGACCGGTGAAGGTGGTCAAAATTCGTGACGCGTTTTGAGCTCCAAAGTCACAAAATGGAACTGGAAGCGAACGTATGACCCCACCAATGGACTGCTCTCCGAACGAGGAATTCATTGGTGGGGTCACACGTTCGGTTTTAGTCCAAGGGACTCCGGAGCTCAAAAAGTGTGGACAGTTTTGGTCGCCGCCACCGGTCTTCTAGCCCAATCTGCAGTGTAAGCCTCACCTTCCGGTTTTCAGAAAGAGTGGTTGTTTCTTCTGAATTGCTGACAGGACCCGCGGTGTCGGTATGCGGAAACAAGTCCTCAAATGTAGTCGTCCTCGAAGAATCCTCGGCACCGTCGGCTTTGTCTGTGCGCGTCCGGTAGCGCGTCCGAGCTCCGAGTTCCGGAGTCTGGGTGACCCGCTTCTTCTGATTTTGATTCTGATTTTGAGTTTGACGGCGTTTCCGTTCGGGTTTGGAGACGCGAGAGTCACGTTTCCTTTTCGGTTTGAGTGGCCGCTCCCACACTGATACAAGGTAGATACAGAAAAGATGAATCTTTGCAAAAATACAGTACGACAGAAAGTCTCTCAGCACGTTCCTGACTTTTTGCTCAGTTTGTCAGTACGTTTGCAAGTAATTTGAGCAACCATAATACGTACTTATCGTTTCCAAAGAACTATATAGGATCTATTAAACGTTAAACTGGCAATTTGTTTTTTTGTAAATAAGTTTACAAATGAAAAAAGTCAGTAATGTGCTGAGTGTAACGTGTAGAACTTTTCATTACCATCGTCAACATCAACTTCATCTTCGGTTTGTTTCTTAGCATGAGGGTTCATTTCCAAGAAGTTGTGCCACTTAGCAGCAACCAGCATCATGACTGTGGGCACACCTAAAAAAACACAAGAAAAAAGGAAAAATTAAGGAAGTCAACTCATGGAAGGATCCACACACTAAGGAGTTCACTGCAGTTTGAACTGAAGCCACCAATATCTATTAGTTTGCTTTTGAAGTTACACGAAGATTCACTAGCTGCTTTGTTACAGTTTAAGTAGAGGGTCTTTGCTAAAGCTACTAACTTTTTGACCTTGTGCTAAAGCTACTAACTTTTCAACCTTGGCAACAAACGACATTAAACATTTACTCTTAACTCCTTGCGGACAGCATGTATCCGTAATACTGAGAGTTTGGGGCAAACACAATTACAGATGGACTTAGCTTTGTAACGCGGATGATCTCACCCATAAGACAAAGTTTTTCCTGTCCCTGACGTGTAACTATGAAGTTGCTAGACTTGTGCGTAGCTGTGTTAGCTGAAGGTAGCGGATGAGGGTATGAGTGAATTGGTTTGATTGCCGCTCCACCAAGAGATTTTCAGAAAACGAATTCAGTGCAATGAGGGTAAGGAGAAATTGAAGAGCAATATTTGGTAAACATACATTTATTTTAAATAAATACTGGGCCCAGCAGCTGTGAGAAAGGAAAGCAGTATAGTTACCAATGAAAATTTTGTGCTTGACTATGCCCTGTAGGGCGCACCGGCCCCAACCACCCCTGGCCAAAGTGGCGGACAACCAAATAATAAAGCGAATGAGCACTGCACCCAAGAAAGCCAAATATTGAGATATATTTTAACCTGTAGCCGTGGTAGTTACTAAAACATTAAAAAAAGGCCTAAGCCAGACCACACCACTAGAGCGCAGTTAAAAAGATTAAATTAATCGATAGACCAACCTAAAAATGGCCAGACTGGCTTTCTGAAGTGGCACTACATATGCACTAAAAAGATCACCGCCCCTCTGTTTTTGCAAAGCTTTTCTAGCAAAAGAGTAAAATAGAGAATAGCATAATGAACTAATATTTACAACATAATATTTCACAACCAAACACCAAGCAATTAACTTTGAAAACTTTAAAGCAATAGGTATGAAAATCATAATTAAGCAAAGCAATAAAGACAAGCGGAACAAAATTTTTAAAATGAGGCAACAACAAATTTATCAATGGCAAAGCAACCAGGGATGGCAAGGTAAGATTATCATACTGTAACTGAGAAGGAAGGCCCATGCCTGAAGGATGGACCAATGTCAGTCATCCACTGCACGCAAGATAACGTCTAAAATGACCTCGAGTCCAGCTGAATTAGAATGTATGTAATCGACACCCCTGACAGAGCAGGACACATACAAGGCCTGGTTAACCTGGCCATCAAGCTGTTAATGAAGGCACTGTTAAACTCAAAAAGTCACTGATGGTTGTTGTGACAGACTTTTTGATTCAAAAGTTGAACTAGATTAAGTTGAGGGCCAGACGTTTTTAAGTGAAGTGAGCGAACGGCAACAACAGACCACAAAACACAGTGCACCCCCTCCAGATAAGAATTCGGACTTGAGAGGCATAGATTTGCCAGGGTGTCCTTAAAATATCGTTGATGCCTTAAAGCAACACAACTTTCCCGGAAAGGGGAACTGACTTTAATATAACTTCAACGGCCTGCGCACCAGCTCCGCTCACACTGAACTGGCTGGAGACTGGGTCAAAAGAAGTGGGGTAGTTATTCAGCAAACTTTTGAAAACACTGTCCCCAATCACTGGAACCATGGCTCTAGAAATAGGAAGCAGCCAAGCCACCCAACAGCATCCAGCCTCAACAGGTCACCTCACAGTTTTGATGCCGCTGTGGAGCTTGAAGTCAGATGGCCGCCATGGAGAGATGAGATGAGTTAGCCGTTCCTCTTGGGCTGCGGAGAGCTGCGTCGCCAGGTGTCCACCGCGCTAATCGTCAGCCTAGGCGGCCGTGATAGCTTACTTTAAAAGCTCACAACAAAAAGCCTGGAGCACAACAACAAACCACATCAGCTGATCGGCTACATAACCTATACCGGCACTATTTAGATGAAAGAATGGGCGAAAATAGACATGACGCGGCGCTTACCGATCGCACTTCGAAAGTAACATCAGGATAATTTGACGTTGACGAGCGGGTTGTTGCTAACAGCACCGAGAAAACGCGCTTGCAAGAGAAAAACCGATGCCAGAGTACGCCGTTCGTGCCCACAACAACGCGCGCTCGCGACTGAGGCGGAGACGGGACCGGAAGCAGGTAGTGCGCGGAGTTTACGAAAACGGGGGGAACGAACCGGAAATCGACAGTGGCGCGAAATTTTGAATGAAGCTCGGAAAGGATTTGAGAGCTACATGGCCGTGCGGTGCTGCAGATGCCAAAAATAAAATAAAAATGAAAGAGAGATAGAGAGACGAAGGCAATAGAGGAAAGGGGGATAGAAAAATAATAAAATTGAAGAAAAAAAAGGAACGGACACGTTACAAACGTACAAACAAAATACCGTAAGATAATGACGAAGAAATCTTAATAATACGAGTGAAATCATCCGTAAAGCAAGCTAAATCCATCCGCAATTTAGATTGAACAAAATTGTCTGAATTCCAGACCGTATATCCGTCACAAGTTTACTGTTAACTCTTAACACCAGTGGCAGCCTCGGGCAGCCTACACTGTGAAAATTTGAGTCGTCACTTGATGACATTTTCAAGGATTATTTTCCTTCCAACAATGGCATCAAAACAATTGATGACATTGTTGTCACGCCCACACAATAAGTATAGGACCTTTACTGAAAACGCAATCAATTAGTGATTGCGATTGTCGTCATTTGGATGAGATGAAAACATCATCCAGGTTTGACATAAAATGATAACAAATTTTCAGTGGGGCAACGAAAAAGGGGGATTTTCAGAAAGATATTTGACTGCGTGGCAACGAGGCCTGGCTAAACCCACCGTCCTTCGATGGAGCTCCTTCCATCGTCCTGCTCAGTGTCCTGCGCACCGTCAGTCATCAGCGAGAACAAAGGCTGCAAACAGACAAGAATACTTCGTTAAAACGGTGCCGAAGCACTTACGGTGCCTACAAACGCTCGCGCCAGTCTCGTCACTAAGTCCTTAAGGACAGGGTTCGAAGGTTGCGGATAGTTTTGTCAGGGTGGAATCGCTGTAAATTTCAGTGGTCCAACGAATTTCAGTCGAATTTCGAAAAACTTTAGTCGAATTTTAATGAATTGCAGTCGGATTTCGACGAATATCAACCGAATGCGGGGGGGGGGGGAGAGGGTTTCAGAGGCCAATCTGAAAACCTCACAAACTAGGCCTGAGAAAGAAAAAGGAGCTAATTATAATGAAATGTTATGAGCACACCGAGGGGGTAACCACTCGCGTAATACCCTGTACACAAAAACCGTGTAATACGCGTAATACACGTGATCGTAATACAATTTTTGGGTCAAATGTGCCAAATTTGGGCATTTTAGGGCCGTAATACACGTGTAATACACCCGTAATACAGCGTAATACCGAGTAGTCTGTACACGATTTCTTGAAGTGTTTACCCCCTCGGAGCACACATAAGCTTCCTATGAAAAAAACTGACATTTACGAACTATTTATTCGGATAACAAAGTAACTTAATTTGTAGTATGCGTGCTCAAAATACTACGTGAGGTTATAAGCGTGGTCTGCTGAGGTGCAGAATCACCGGAAACCGCTGCACTGTAGGTTGCCTGCACTGCTAGTCCTAGTGCGGGACAAGTTCGGACGAGTTTATACTTGCATAGGCGCAGGTGTGGACCAGTCGTGCTCTATAGTCGACCCAGCCAAACGTCTCGCTTCTTGTGGCCGTTGCAAATACCCCCTCCACAGGGCCGGGGGGAGCGCGGGGACTGGTGCGGGAAGACATTCGCGGTGGAGGGGGCAGTTTTAACGGTCGCAAGAAGCGAGACCTTTGGCTGAGTCGACTGTACACTTACTGGTGTAGGCCGACCCCACCGCGTCCTCCTCTTAGAAGCACGCGCAGGACGACACGGCTTCACCAACTTTCGATGACCGTAGAGTGTTTCAGGTAGCAAGTCTGGACAGCAAGCCAAGAGCCGCAATCCTCACCGGAAACTCTTTTGCAACTAGCAAATTTCGGAGGCGTAAGTAACTGCCCCCGTGTTGCACAATGGACACTTCCAGCAAAGGCCTGGAGTGAAGAACAAGAAGAACATAAGCCGGAAACAGTTGCCAAATTACGAATGTTTATTCTCCAATAAAAAATTCAAGGAAGCTTAATTCTACACTTCATGAGTTAAACCTGCCGAAACCCCCGAATAAGGCCGATTTCTTGTACTGTTTCCGGTCTATGTCCCTTCTTCACTTCAGGCCCTGCCAGAAGTATCTTTTGGGTTAAATTCATCAGACACTATGTAGTGCTAGTACACGTTAACACACTAAGGCGCATTCGAAGAAGCACACTAACTTGTGTTTCCGGTACAGATGGCGGCTCTTAGCTTCTAAACCAGGCCTCCACTGAAATACCCTGTGAACTGTGAGCTTGCGGGTGCGACACAAAGCATCAAGCAGTCAATACTTGCAGGTGCACACTACATGTTGTTGCACAAATTTAATGCGAGGCATCACAGGTTTTCGTGCGCACGAACTCTTCGCGCAAATTTGAACGCGATTTTGCACAAACAACGGAGAAACATCTTAGGTTTGTCCTACTATAAATAAACGAAGAGTTCATAAGCGTAAAAGAGAATGTGATGCCTCGTACAAAATTTTGAGTAGCATTTGATGTGTTACACATTGAAGTGTGACGCCTTGAGTGTGTAGTGTCCTACACCGCTAGGCTCATCGACAGTTCTTCGACGGAACTCGGGCCCGGAAGTCGGAAGACAACACCGTAAGCCAGGCAATTTCAGTTTCTGAGAGAAATATGTACGGCGAACGAGCTCAAGACCTCATCCACAGGGTATATTTCTTTCAACTTTCCTTTATGTTCCCCGTCTTCGGCGCTTGGTCTGAAGGGTATTGCAGACAAAATCCTTACCGGAAGTTCAGTTGAAGTCGGGAAAAATCGTTGAAGCAGAGTGTGGCAGAGCCAGGTAGTGGTCCGGGGCTACGCATGTGAAATTGAGGGTAGCATGCGGTTGTGAGCTGTGAACCCCACCTACACACACTAAATGACTACGTAGGTTTTTCTGCGCGCTTGTGCACGAAATTAAACATGCACTTCGTAACGCACGAATTCAGGCGCGAAAATGCACGATTTTCTGCATACTTGCGCACGAAATCGCGCATTGTCGCGCGCAAATTCGTGCGTTACGAAGTACATGTTGAATTTCGTGCATAAGCGCGCAGAAAAACCTACATAGTCATTTAGTGTGCAGGGTTGTTGACGTTACTTTTAAAGAGTAAGCACGTTACCGTTGCTTTAGGTTTGAGGAGTCCCAACGTCGTAACGTTCCCGATTTTCCAACGAGTAACACGTTACCGGTTACCAAAAAAACTACGTATGATTTTCTTTTGCATTTAGGTTACAGAGCTGAACATTGATGATTGCTCACACTACGTGTAACCAACCAAAGTTCAGACTTCTCGCCACTTCATCTAAAAAGTCTTGTAAGACCTGAATGTCTCGCCTAAATTGGTTAAGTGCGGGACGTTTCGGTCTGACCTCAAGGTGGTCAAAATTTTCAATGCAGTCATATGGTTTCCGCCTGTACCGTGGTCACACTTAAAAGTCTCGTCACTTCGTGGTGGAACATCTAGGCGAGACATTTAGGTCTCAGCGGATCTTGGCAGGACTCACTTGCGTAACAGTCGGGTCACTCTGACCTTAATAGTACGCGTGAATGTCCGCGCACACGTGGCGTTGTGGCCGAAATTCTCTCAATTTATCCCATTTATAGGGTTGTTTTGGGTTTTTCACTTAAGTCTCCATAATTTTGAGGCTGCGTAATGGTAGCGGTTAGTCTTTGTACTTAGTTTTTATTGCACTCTCGGACTCGTATTGACTTTTTTGTTCTAATTATTGACTTTGTCTACTTTGCTTATTTAGTTGTTTAATCAGCAAGAATAAGTACTGTTTCCTTTGTAACCATGTTCAATATTGTTCACCGTAAAGACTAAATTGTCGTCAATTATTGGCTATTTCTGTAGTTAATGGCGTACTCTTTGGCAATAGCGAACTGATTTGAGTCTATATGACGAACAAAAACTTATCGCTGCGTAAAATACGCACTTAGAGTGTGTGCGGTGCTATTCATTTTGTCGAATTACACACCAGCAAGTTTTTGATAAGCAAAGGACTTCAACTTTCATCCAAATTCTTCGGTATGTACGGGAAAATTTGGCAAGACTACCCGACCTTTGTCATTTTTGTCGCAGAAGACATTGGTTTTCTTCGAAGTAAAGCTTGCAGTTAAAATCAAAAACATGACATATAGCCACAAATATTACACATCAGATTTAAGGTGTAAACACCCGCTTTTGTGAGGTTTAAGCGTTTAATATTTGCCAAGGGGTGCGACATAACACGCCAACCATTTCATGAACGTGATACACTTCCAACTTATCGCAAGCGTTCCTGCTAGCGCAGCCACAGCCGCGGATCCACAGATCCATGGCTTGTTACACGATGGACAGTGGCCGATGGGGACGAGTGAACAGATCCATGACGAGGTACACGGGGGGCAGTCCGATTTCTCCTTCTTCTTCTTCTCCAACCACTTCGGGAAAGCTGTCGGACAACAAAAGACAGAATATTTAAGATTTTATCAAGCAGACGGCAGATTTGGAAAATCCGGAGCGTCCGCTCATTTTACACTGCAAACATATCCGTATTTTGGAGCGGGAAATTTAAATAGAAACTCAGATAAAAAGTGCGCGGAACGTCCGTATTCGTCCAGCAACAGTGTACTTGCAGGTGTGCCCCACCTGGCGTACTTACTCTAAAATATCAATAGTGGGTAACTTTTAAAATGTATATTTAAAGTATTAATTTTAAACACACTGAGAATGAATTGGTCACCACCATCACCCTTTAAATGGGTGATGCAACTTCGTTGCCCAAATTTTGGTGACGAAAAATTCATCACCCGAAATTTGGTAACAGGCGTTTGGTCGCCCAAATTTGGGTAACGCCGTCGGCGACGCCATGAGGTTCCCGATGACGCCCTTCCGGGGCCACCACGATGACCGGAGGCCTCAACGCCACATTAGGTCATCGTGGTGGCCCCGAAAGAGCGTCATCGGGGACCTTACGGCGTTACCCAAATTTGGGCGACGATTTTATGACTGCCCAAAATTTGGTCACCGCGTGCTCGTCACCCAAATTTGGGCAACGGTGCGTGCGTTACCCAATGGAAGGGCGATGGTGGTGACTCTTTCATTCTCAGTGCAGTTGCCAAAGTAGCTTGAGGCCTTGGAATTTGATCCCTTGACTTCGTTTTGCAGCGTAGCAGCACCGTCTACGTCCTCGTTTACTTACTGAACTACGGCCGTTTAATAATTAGGCAGTTTTGGCCCCAAACAATTTCTAGAACCAATTGTGGGTCAGCAATTTTTAGCAGATGATACCTTCACACTTGAAACATACTTAAAACTACTATACACAAATGAAGGTGTCAGCGTGCTTTTACTCTCGAGTCCAAAAACCAAGCGCGTATCCTAACAATATAAACGAGCGTGATTGTGGCCACAAAATTGTGGCCACAAAAATCCCAAATAGGCATACCGCATGCAAACGGACTATACTTACCGAAAAACGGTAAAAATCATGCAGAGCGACATTGTGTGTGCTGTTTCTTATTCTCCTCGTCAATATCTACATTTTCCGAAATCAAGTTGAGCTTAAACCACCTCGGTTCGGGAAATATTGGCTTTCAAAGATACGACTTTGTAACGCATGCTTATGACTTTGGGACACCAAAACTCAAACTTTCCAGCGTCGGGGCGACCTTGTCTGTACTGTTACTTGTTCTCCTCATCAATATCTACCTTTTCCGAACTCAAGTTGAACTTTAACCACCTCGGTTCGGGAGATATTGGCTTTCAAAGATACGACTTTGTAACGCATGCTTATGACTTTGGGACACCAAAATTCAAACTTTCCCGCGTCGGAGCGACCTTGTGTGTACTGGATCTTGTTCTCCTCGCCAATATCTACATTTTCCGAACTCAAGTCGAACTTTAACCTCCTCGGTTCGGGAGATATTGGCTTTCAAAGATACGACTTTGTAACGCATGCTTATGACATTGTGACACCAAAATTCAAACTTTCCTGCGTCGGAGTGACCTTGTGTGTACTGTTTCTTGTTCTCCTCGTCAATATCTACATTTTCCGAACTCAAGTTAAGCTTTAACCACCTCGGTTCGGCAGATATTGGCTTTCAAAAATACGACTTTGTAACGCATGCTTATGACTTTGGGACACCAAAATTCAAACTTTCCCGCGTCGGAGCGACCTTGTGTGTACTGGTTCTTGTTCTCCTCGTCAATATCTACATTTTCCGAACTCAAGTTGAACCTTAACCTCCTCGGTTCGGGAGATATCGGCTTTCAAAGATACGACTTTGTAACGCATGCTTATGACCTTGGGACACCAAAATTGAAACTTTCCCGCGTCGGAGCGACCTTGTGTGTACTGGTTCTTGTTCTCCTCGTCAATATCTACATTTTCCGAACACAAGTTGAACTTTAACCTCCTCGGTTCGGGAGATATCGGCTTTCATAGATACGACTTTGTAACGCATGCTTATGACTTTGGGACTCCAAAATTCAAACTTTCCTGCGTCGCGGCGACCTTGTCTGTACTGTTTCTTGTTCTCCTCGTCAATATCTACATTTTCTGAACTCAAGTTGAGCTTTGACCACCTCGGTTCGGGAGATATTGGCTTTCAAAGATACGACTTTGTAACGCATGCGTATGACCTTAGTAGGGATGGTAAAATACCGGTATTTTTTTCGGTTTAAAACCAAATATAATACCGGTTTAAAACGGTATTTTACGGTATTTTTGGGTATTTTTAGTATTATTCTATTTTTCTTAAAAATAATGGGTAATGGCCTAGTTCAACCCAGATTCTGATTTTAAGCTAATTTAGGGCCATTCATACCCCCTTGTCAGTCCCGGACTTTGACAATAACTGAAATTTTGTTTGTTGCCTTACGTTAACCTGCCTGGCCGATTTACTTTCTTTTCGTCATACTGAAGGAAAAGACTCCGATAGCCACTTCTCGTGTCACTTTCTTCGGGAGATAGAGATGGACCATCGCATTGCCATTTAAAATCCGATTTTATGCCCCTTTAAAGACTTTTTGTTCTTCTTATCCAGTCGAATCGCTTGTTATAAGTTGATGATAGATCTCTGAGAAATCGTTTCATTTACGCACCCTGATGATTTGTGGAATCTTTGTTCGTGCAGTGCGCCCCGTGAGCCCCGCAATGGGCTTTGTGGTATGAGACGGGAAGCAGCACCATATAAACCACTGAATTTGGCTGTTTTTCACAGTTTTACCATTATTTGATGAAAAATAGTAAAATACCACTCTAAAGTGATAATTTTACTCCGGTTTATTACCGGTTTAATGCCAAAAATACCGGTTTAATACCAAAAATACTGGTTTAATACCAAAAATACCGGTTTAATATCAAAAATACCGACGAGTAAAATACCGGAGCCATCCCTAGACCTTAGGACACCAAAATTCAAACTTTCCTACGTCGGAGCTGTTGGTTTTATCACTAGATTGAGCAGGATTAATCCAGATAAGTTTGGGAGAGGCACAAGAACAACGAGCACGATTCACAGTTCACACGGAAGTGCTTTATTCATTCTTTTCTTTTTCCGTACAGGATGTAAACTACACAGGAAGTATGAGGAATACAGCATTCATGACATGGAACTAGATATGAGAGATTAGTGTGGAGGGAACATTCAAATATTAAAATTACTTTTTACAATACACCCCCTTAATTTTAATATCTCTTAATAGACCCCAATCTTCTTTACCATATCTATGAATGTTGGCCCTGGCAATGGCTTGGTGAAGATGTCAGCCAGTTGCATTTTTGTATTTACATACTCAGGACTGATAATTTTTTCCTCCGTCAGTTCCCTGATAAAGTGGTACTTCACATCAATATGCTTTGTCCTGGGCTGAAAAGCATTGTTTTTAGACAGGAAAATGGCACCCATGTTATCACATCTCACTTTTACCGTTCCATGAGGCCTTCCTAATTCAAACAGCAGGTTTTTTAGATATATAGCTTCATTAGCTGCTGCAGCCAAAGAGACATATTCGCTCTCAGTACTGGACTGCGCCACTGTTTTTTGTTTTTTACAGTTCCATGAGACAGGCCCACTACTTGCCAGAAACAGGTACCCAGAGTAGGACCTTCGATCCACCCTGTCATTTGCCCAGTCAGAATCACAGTATGCTGTCAAATCAGCACAGCCAGTCCTGGAATAATTTATTCCCTTGTCTCTACTCCCTCTCAGATATCCCAGAATTCGTCGAGCACTGTACCAGTGTCTCATGTCATAGCTGTTATTAAATTGACTCAGGTAATTTACGGCCTGA